GCTACTTGATTGATTGATTGATTGGTCGATTGATTCAATGTTATATCCACTTTTCGCATTTGGGGAGAGAGAGAGAGAGAGAGAGAGAGAGAGAGAGAGAGAGAGAGAGAGAGAGAGAGAGAGAGACGCTCAAAGTGAAGAGCGGGGGACAAAAACGGATTCGAGTTTCCCATGGACTGTTCTGTGTGTCTTCAGTATGAACAATTGCGAGCCCGTGTGGAGCCATGTGCCCGTGTTGTCGTGCCGCAGCGTCGCTGCGGTGGGTCCACTTGTATCCCATAAAGCTTCAAAGCTCTCACCTAAAGTGGTCAGAGGCGATCAAAGTTCATGAGCAGAGAATGGAAGCACGAACAACTGGACAATTAGCACAATGCAAAAAACGTAGCAACAGTCTTCGCATCAACTTGCAATCAGCTCAGCTGCAGAGCTCCCATTATGCGACCAGCACACTGCAGCAAGAAGTTCTGAATTGCCAAGTGCTCCATATCGAAGACCAGGGGATATCAACCCCTGATCAGTCCAATCATGTATGGTACGGCGCCTGGGCTCTGTGGTTTGATTGACCCCATGTCTTCATAAACACCCTCCACGATCAGATAGGATTCCTATATCAACCAGAGCTGACCTTGGCCAGGAGCCGTGATATGGCTCCTTCGGCGTGTTCCCTCTCATCTCCCCACTCCACCATGGCCAGGTCAACACCAAGTTCTAGCGACGGTGCCGGCAGGTTCCCTGTTCCGGCCGTTGAAATGGCAAATTTTGGTTAGGCATGCAAGTGGCTTTCAGGAGGTCGTGGGTTCAATCCCCAATGGCCGCCTGTGGAACTCTTGGTGCCAACCGACTGAGATAGTCAGCTGGATCCTCCTAGTCGGTATTAGAAAGGTCTTCGGCCAAAATGGGTGTGAGTGCGCGCGTGAGTGTGTTGTGTGTGGTGTGTATGTGGGCTCTGGCCGTGATCACCAACAATCTCACACTTGTCATCCAAATCATGTACTCTTCCTGGGACGCTGGACCCGTTTTACAGCAGGAGATGCTCCCCACCAATAGACGGAGCCTTCCCCACAGGCCCACTTGAACCACCAGTACTTGGCCCAGCTATCGATGCCGAGTCTGGAATGGCCCTGCGCGCCGATATTCGCCGAAGCGCCGGGGTACCATTTTTTTCGAAATTGTTTTGGTTGGCGCTTCCAGCCATTGAGGTCCGGTACCCCGAAGCCCTAAAGGCGTGGCGCGTTAGGGCGATAGCTGGGCCAAGTACTGGTGGTTTAACGAGGATGCTCTTATAGTGGTAACCTGAAATGAAGTTCCAAAAAAAAAGAAAAAAGGAAAAAGAAAAAAAAAAAGAAAAGAAAAGAAAAGTAAAGCCTGTAAAGGATTTGCTGCCAGCGATGGGTCGGGTCCTTGGCCTCTACAACACGCTGGGCTTAAAAAAGGGGAAAAAAAAAAAAAAAAAAAAGAACGATAGGATTTGTTGTTTTTGCTGAAAGAAAAAGAAAAAGGATGAATTCCCTCCCCAAAACTTCACACAGTCTCCAGCTGGACATTGTTGTGGGGCCCCACTCATACGGCCCCCCCCCCCTTTTCTTACAATGGCTTGCCTATTTTTTTCTAAGAATAAAAAACAAAAAAATGAAAGCAGTCTCAGATTTCGGGCAGCCTGCAGCTCCATATTTTCACACCGAAAGTGCTCTCTCTCACACCATCATTGGACTCACATACATGGCCAAGGGAATGTGTCTTAGGCCATACACTGCCCAACAAGGATGACAATATATATACATATATATATACATAATAATAACATTATTATATTATTTACTAGGCTACCAGAGTGGCCCGGGGTCACTTGCCCAGCCGAGCCAAAAAAAAAAAAAAAAAAAATAATAATAATAATATTTTTATTTTATTATTATTATTTTTTTTAAATTTGGTAAAGAATTTCGATGTGACCCTGAGGCAAAGGTTGTTCAGTTTATTTTTCTGCATAACATAGTTTTTT